ACGACCAACCAAACCATATTGATTCTGCGAACGACTGAAGCGCAATTGAACTCCCTTCTTCATGATCATGTAATAATCCTTGAACACCTCATGAGTCGTTGCTACCATCAGCTCTTTGCCCATCTTTCGACCCAAGCGTCGCAGGCATTCATCCTTTGAATTCGCCTCGGAGACCTCTTAGATGCAGCGTCAGTCGTTGACGATGAGGGCCCCTGTGATGGAACCCCTCGCCTTGAGTGTCCTCATGTTCCTGGTCACTGGGCAGTTCTGGGATTGCTGCTTGCTTGCTGCTTTGCTTGGCGTTGGCCTGAGCCATTGGAGAAAGAAGGTGCCATTGGGTGAACGGGAGGACGATCATCTTCGACTCTATCGAGGGAATTGGATGGGTATCCTCCTCACGGTTGATCGGATCGTTGATGACAACCATGCTAGCCAATACCCGCTTTTGATGTTTTTGAGAGACGCTTTATGTTCGTTAACTTAAAGACATTCTTCATGGTGGCCTTTTGCTTGTTCCCGGCTTGAGATTTCAAGATTCTCTTCAACGTATTGAGGACATTGAGGATTTTCTGTTGATTTGCAAGTGTCGACTTGAAGAAGAACTTGTCACTCTCATGCTTTGACCATCAGTCTTCTGTGATAAAACGTTCGAGGTCGTCATGCTTACAACACTGGTTCCTGCTTTGAACCTCTTGTTGGCTTCATCGCCTGTCACTTCCTCGGGCTTGCGTTTCATCGTGCCTTTGTAAGCCTTGCCTGGCTCGATAGACGGTTGTTGGAACTTCTGTTCAAGAATTGTCAGTTTCGATCGTTGAGCTTCTGAGTCATTCGATCAATCGACAGTATCTTACGCTGGACATGGCTGAATGAGAGATCATGGCATCCAACCCACGATCTCAGTCCTCTGGTCGTACTATGTCTGGTTAAAAAACGGACAGATTGAGAAATTTGTTGAATCTAGAAAGTGGTGTCAGTGAATGATGAGGTGGACTCGTGAAGTGGACTTATATAAAGTAGCTGAGGCGGTGTATGAAGGTCGGTGTAGGTGGAATGATGGACCACTTGTTGGTCCGAGCACTTTTCTCCACCGCTCTATTGAGAGGCCCCTATATAAAAGGTAAAATCCCCATATAAAAGCTTCTCTCTCCCTCTAACCTCCGTCTTCTTTTCACTCAACTCCACACTGCACTTTGACTACGTTTCTCCCAAATCTAGCCTCAGACAGTCTTCTGCGGAAAAAGAGATCCTGTCAACCGTTCAAGAGACCAACCAGATCAGATCATCTAGCATGGCTTCTCTTCAGATCGATAACATGGTTGATGAGATCGAACACAAGATCGACTTTCACAACAGCAATTGCGACGAAGGCCTTGACACCTTCGAAGCTTCCAAGGAAGAAGGAAAGACTCTCAAGCATGAGTTGCAATTTTACCAAATGCTCAAGTTGGATATGGACAGTCTCATGGTATGAGACTACCTATTATCCTTCTCCAATTTCTAGAGCTAACGAAAGCAAGATGCGCATGAGCAACATTCGACGCGCTATCGAGGGAAAGGCCGATCCTCCTCTCAAGTTCAAGATTCCTGCTGCCTCAGTTGCGGACCTTGAAGAGATCCTCTTCGCGTTCGATATGTTCGAGGATGATGCCTGTAAGTCTTTCACGACGATCCTTGATCGAGTCTGGTCTAAGATCCTCAAGGTGGCAGATGAGGTTCCCCAGATGAAGGAGGATATGTAGTCGTTTGACGCAACGGACAGCGCTCTTCACAGGATATGGATTGGATCTGCGAAGAGCTTTTCGATCAGAGCATTGACTCTTATGGGAACTAGGGCAAGGCCTTGGTACAATTGGACGGTCATTTTCTTCGAGTCATCGAAGGGGGTGTCATCTTATGGGTATTAGGGAACAATTTGGGTTACCTGAAAGTCTTTGATTGGACTCAAGGATGACCAATCAGATAAATGTTTTCCTTTTCCTTTCTTATTCCGGTGCGGGTTGGCTCTGGTAAGGTTCATTTTATTTCTTCGAGACTTCAAGGCCATCGGGGTAGTAGTAGTCACGATTATCAAGACGTTCCCGTCATCAAGGCATCGTGGCCATCGATGCGCAATGGTCGGCCGAAGAACTTGAGTATCAATTTAATGCTCACTTCTCATAGTCTTCCAAGTCTCAAGACCGTGGTGTACAATCACAACATCATTAGAATAGCTTGCCTGAAATGATTGATCCAGAACCCTTGGGCCGTTAGGCAGGGAGCCATCATGTAATTCTTTCGTTTCCTCAAGCGATGACTGGATCAACAGTAATACAGTCACATTATTTCGTCATTCATATAGGAAGACTACATCTTACTGTTCTAGTTGAACATGCTGTCGCTAGCTACCAGCTCTTGCGGCGTTGAGACTAGAACTTACTGCACTAAACATATGGGTACATAGAGTACTCAATTCAATCGAGGTCTTACCAAGCAGCTCACCATAGCAAGCCTAATTTGTCAGTCTCTGCGAAGGAGCCGGTTTTTAGTGGAATCTCTTCAACACTAAAATAGAGCCTCCAGACCAAGGGCTTCATCGGGCTCTGTTACGCCCTGTGAGTGTGTTCATACAGGGTGTAACAACAGTGGATGAAGGATATTTCCCGTCAGAAGCCAGCTCCCACACATGTAGAATCCACATGATGATGTGAAGCAATTACCATACCCGCCTTGCTTTTTCGGAATCTGTGTCCAAAGTCGGCGTGCACCACTGACTGAGAGGAACCGCAAAGAGCGAATAGCAACCCGCGCTCGCTCTTTCTAAATTTGTAGAGCATATGCAACGCACATGTCGAACTTGTGCTACATACCGAAGGCCATCAAGGTGAGTTGCACAAAGCCCATTCTAGCCCCTTGGGAGGCTAGCTTTTTCGCACTGTCGTGCAAGCCTGACGTGTCCTAACACGGACGGCTTCACGGCACATGGCTACAGACTCTTGCACTCTGCTGTTCGCTCTGAAATCGGGTCCTCATCTAAGCATGTCGTACGCTGATTTGATAAGGTCGTCATTTGAATGGGTCGATTTCAAACGAGATGGCACTAGCCTATGTGCAAGGTGATTGCTCCATATGATGAAGGCGTGTAGTGCTAGTCGGTGACCTTTCCGCGTGTGACGACATTTCGCGACATCCTGGAAGAAGCCTCGCCCAGTCCCAATTAATGTACTCCCTTTTATCTTAGCGTGACTTTTCTGATCGAATCTCCACCCCTTCCATAGAGAAGTATTCCTGTCCCTGGTATCGCCATGCTCTGTGCCTTTCTCTCTCTGTTTGCACGTCAAGTTCCAGCTCATCATCGGCATGAGTGCATCAGATGTGATGTCGGCATTATTATCGAGCTCTTTTGCCTTCTTGAGCTAGATGTTTCATCAGCGTAGTTCTCAGCCAGGTCGACTTCAGATATCCCTCGTATGTCGTATGCTGTCCCTGAGCTATCTTTATACTTTTCTTACACCATTCTATTTATCTTCGTGATGCGCAGAAGAAAGACGAGTTCGTACGTACCATAGTACGTCATGGTCGACCGAAGGGCATGCTCGAGGTATGGTTTCCTTTATTCGGTAAATGACGGGACCTCGTGTCGTGCATTGTGGACGCACTTGTGAAATAGACGAACAGGGTGCGCTCTCGTCATTCTGCGAAGCTAGTATCCCCAGTGAAGCCAAAATTGTTCCTCAAGGTACTACCTAGCGTGTCTATCGTATAGGTATGAGTGCGATTGGATTCACATTTGATAGGGCGGAGACGTCCCTCTGCAGCAACTTCTCCACGCTTGAATTCTTCGGCAATGGTCGTGTCTAAGGGTATTCTTTGAGACATATGTGCTGATCAGATAGCGTATGGCAAGAGTCGTGTTGTACGGTCCGGAAGCGCTGGTGAATGGTATATGTCGAGACATAGACAAGATCCATGAGAGTACTCGTACACCGATGATCCTAGAGATGAGCTTGTAATGGTCGAATTTGTCGATGAGATGTAAAAACATGCAGGGCTGGTTCTGTGGATAGAACTAGACTAAAGATACAGCCGATAAGAGCAAAGAGGGTAGGAGACAGATAGCGGTGGAAAGAAACAACCTGCCATGAGGAGGGTAGTTACTTGGAACATTTCGCGTTGTGCGAAAGGCCGAAGAAGGCACGTCCCGTACCTTCCTCTTTCCCCACGTTTGCCCACGAGCAATCGCACGACGTGAATCTTAGCGTATGAGCTTATTTAAATATACCCATCATGTTCTAAAAACTATCTGTAAATTCCTCTACCTAGCGATTGATCTCGACGGAGCGGTCTTGACGGGCGTATTCTGTGATGTTCTGTCATGCCTCAGGGTGTGATTGCGTTACTGTTCGTGGCTTCGTGAATCTCTGCAGCGAATACTTGGAGGGACATGAGGTATAAAGGGTCTTCGCAATGAAGAAAAGAGAATTGATCAATACTGGCGATGTCCAATTCCATTTTGATCGTATGTCGCGAAGTACAGATCATAGGAGAGATGAATCAAGTAGACGACGTCCGGCGAGAACGATTCGTTCCACGAAGAGTAGAAATATCGATATTCGTAATTCATCTAGACACACTCTTCGTGGTCCAGTGGGATAAAGAGCTTGTCGTCTGCTTTCTGTTCAAGCGCCTCAATGCTCGAGTCGCACCGGTACCGCAAGGGAGGTCCTTCAGTTTAGATGCTCGTCCTAACGGAACGGACTCACTGAGCTCGCAAACTTTTATCGGGGTCAGTTTGGACCTGGAATTGAGTCTGGGCGCAGCCTGAATTTGTTGGGATTGGGTCAAGTTGTGGATCAGTGTCGGCGGTGTTCTGTGGTGTCGCTAAACTCTCCGGTAGCGGTCAGTGCCATGCCGTCCACTTCCAACCCCACCTACCCCTCTTTCGATGCCGCACAAGGACTGGGAGATTTGTTAGACCTCTATATAAACTGAATACTACTCAGAAAACTTTATAAACTCCCAGAAGTCCTGTGGTCTAGTGGTATGGTATGTGAACGAATATCTCCGCTAAAGTGAACTCAAAGCTAACTGATCAACCGACGTTCGCCTCACAAAACGCTCTAAAAGCTCGCGAAAGGTCTCGGGTTCGATCCCCGGCGGGACTAAAATGGCTGGAGTTGTTCCAGATTTTTTTTTGGATAGTTGGGTGGCCGTCCGGGGGAGGGGACCCAGAAACACTACGCGCTAAGACCAGAACATTCCTAAGTATTAAGAAGCTGTATAGCCATTAAAATATGCTTATTTCAAAGTCCTAGCATTTTGTTTTGCTTGTATAGTGCTGCCCTGGGAAGAATAAAGGGGTGGAAGGTGTAGGGTCTCGTCACGTGATTTGGCTCTTTCTCTTCAGTGAACCGTACAACCAGGAATACGGGGAGCTTGAATTGGCAGATTGAACGATTCTACGCAGATCTACGTCTATCTCTTGGAGTATTGAATCCCTGGTAAGATAACGATACCTAGGTTTTCTAAGATTGGGTCTTCTCCCCCTTCTTGAAAGATGTCCTCTTTACTCTCTACGAGATCTTCATCATTAAAAGTACGTTTAGAGTCTGAATCTTCATTCTTTCTGTATATTTGCATTGTATTCTATCCATATGATAGATGCTAATTCCTTCGAGTTGCACCGTTCGACCCTATAGAAGACAACGCCTTCCCTGATATGTCAAAGCTTTTTGGAAGACCTATAATTACGCGAAAGCTGACCACTGTATACTTTGAAGATGTGTCGACGTGGCCATATTCTACACATCTTGTACTTTCGCCATATCCTGTGACCCAGGCATCCCATCCGACACCAGAGTCCTCCGCGTACGGGTATGTTGGTCGAGGCCGCCATTCCAGTCCAATGCTGACTATTCGCCCCGCAGACAGCCTGTCTCAGATGTCCCCTACCTAGGGTACTTGGGAATTTAGGCCAGCCCTACCTCCTGCAAAGGCAGTGCCCCGTAAGACCACCAGCATTTAGTGTACAGCATACGCAAATTAACGTGTGGACAGAATGCTTCAAATCGCAGACGCCGCCGATGGCGGCAAAGTAAGATGCATAGGACACGGATAGCATTGAGACACAGGCACCACCTGTCACCATGGCGGGCGCAGATCCTCCCACGCCGACAGCGTCGCAGTCAGACCTGATCTCCCCAGAGAATGATGTTGGGCGGCAACCACCCGATACCAACGTCTTCGCGACGCTCAAAGATCAAGGAGAGGAGGGCCTTACTGAACCGAGGGCCAAATGAGACGGCATACAAAGGCGATCTCGCCAAGATGATAAGATAGGGCAACGTACCTAGGCCAGGTATTGTAGACAGAAAAACAAATCGCGTGGACTCACAAGTCGTATATCAAAATTGCCATATCGAAATGTATACTTGAGGTCTAAGCTATCATACTGACTGATCCCGCAAACTATGTAGACACGACGTTATGACAGCATACTTCCGTTGAAAATAAGACTCGCGACATCTGGAGTCGCTACCTGAATCGCCACACCCCCACCTAGTATGACCTCTCGCCCCTGTGCTGGTCGCCATTGATGTCGATGATGTACTCCCACGCTCACCTTCGTCCAAACAGACTCTCGCTTGTGCGGCCCCGGCGATTATACGAAGAGGTCTTGCTTGACTCCTGGGCGCCAAGTGTACCCACGAGCGGTAGCATGTTCCTATCCTGAATTCCCCTGGTCCTCTCTTCGCCATCGCCGCGTTTGGTCTCAGTAAGGGACTTCCATATCGCGAACAAGCTGGTCGCTTGTGGATCGCGGTCTCCTTCTTTGCGTAGATATGACAACAAAGTCTTGGCTACAACGTCTGCAATGGATCCGAGACCGCGAACAGCGATGAGGCGTTGTGGTCGGATAGCATCAAAGACCTTGTTCATCTGAAATAAGAAGAAGAGCTGAACATGGTTTCGCTCCGCCAACAGACACAATGACCGGACAGAGTCCTTCTCGTGAGGTATGCCGTCGATTGCGCGCACGAGTATGAGAGCGTTGGCCATGCCTTTGTTGGTGGTCCTTCTATGCCTCTGAAAAACTTAATCGGCGAAGTCTCAGACAGCGTTGGTCCAGCTCGAATCGTCACCGCGGACGCGAGCATTGTAGAGCGTGCCATTTGTGCCCTGTCTCTTACCGGTGAAAGCGCTCTTCCACTGAAAGGTATGTCCGCTGGCCACTTCGAGGCGGCGGATGAGCTTGATGGATTGGACTCGGAGTCTCTCTCGTGCGACCAGAAGTGCGTTCTTGTCGTGGAGTGCACGTTCGATCAGACGAACCTTGGGAGCTGAAGTTCGGCACAATGCCAGGACATATTTGGCCTTGCGAAGTCGGGGGACGATAGCTGTTATCTCACGTAGCTTGCGGGCATATCGCTCCGGGTGGGTAAACTCCTAAAGCAAGCTCAAGGTCACTTAAAGAAAGAGTAGACCCCGGGGAGAGAAAGACTTACCTCGTCATCGACCATATCGTCGGCACCAGCAGCAGCTTCATCAGCTGCAGAGGCCTCGTCAACCAAGAGGTCGTCGTTAGTCCCATCATCCGATGAGGCCAAGGAGAAGTCGTCATCGCCATCGTCGTCTGCAAAGTTGTCGTCGGCACCAGCTGCAGCGCCCTCGCCAACCGAGACGTCGTCGTCAGTCTCATCATCCGATGAGGCCAAGGAGAGGTCGTTGTCAGTCTCATCATCCGATGAAAGCGAATGGACGGGAGATAGTTCACGACCTTCTTAGCACGAAGCCTTCTGGTGCTGGGCTCGGCGTCATCATATACAACAAGCTCGCGCCAGCGCTGTAAAACCACACTTATAGTGTACTGTAGGTGTTAACAAAGGCCGATGGAGCCTCTTGGCTGTTGGCGGGGTTGCGATTCAATAATACGTGCTCATCGTACTCCGTAACGAATTAAGCCTCTGCGCTTCCACAACAAACAGTGGTGCGTACGTGAACAGAACCACGTTAATTGAATGCAGGATGTCGAACGGGGAGGTCCATCTTCAGCTGTCTCCGTCTTCCGCAGCAGCACCGTCGCGGTCGTCGATGAGGGAGTCGTCGCTGCTCATGAAGTCGTCATCGCTCATGAAGTCGTTGTTACTGAGATATTCGCCGTCGCCCAGGGACATCTCGCTTGGAGCATGGTCATCGGTAGCAGCACTACTGTCACCTCCGACGTCGTTGGCGTCGCTAGGGAGCTCCTCCGAGGAGAACCGGATCAGCGTATGGTAATTAACGACTTTCCTCGCTCGGAGGGTTCTGCTGCTAGGCTGGGGATCATCTAGACCTCGCTTCTGTCCTGTGAACAGTTAGATGATGATAGGACAAAAGTATGGTTTCTGCTCTCACCTGTGGTCTTCTCCATAACGAGTTGGTGCACTTCTACAACAAATAATATTGCGTCGTCCGTGACAGACCCCGCTGAGTGAATGTGGGAGGTCAGACGGCGGCCAGGAATATGCTGAGGGAGCGTGGGAGAGAGTGTAGGAGAGAAGAGTGAGGAGGAGAAGTGAGAGGTCAAATGTTGAGGCCATGTTACTTATACGGAAAGTGGGCGGTGGGTGGCCAGGAAAGGCAGCCGCATTGGAGCACCACAGCGTCCAATGAGGTGGGCCACGGAAAGTGGTGTGATACGGGAAGTGAGCGGTGGACAGTGGGCAGTGACCAGGAAAGGCAGCCGCATTGGAGCACCACAACGTCCTCATATCCTCTCATAGCGACGGCGAGCTCAGATGGGGAGGAGGCGAGGTAGACCAGCTACGCTGCCTTGACGACCAAGGTTTTATCGCTATGGTACTCCTCCTCGTTGATATGTTCCTATTCCTTTCAAGCTTGGATGATAAGCTCGGCAGCAAGCACGGTAACCAATTTTGCTTTACATCTCCCATCGATGGCAGCAAAGTTGACTTTTATAAACGAGCCATGACCCTAGAGGAACAAGTACGCCGGAGCCAGTGACGAGAGAGTAGAGTTCCGCCCGTAAGAAATTTAGACAGTTTCGGCAAGACTGCAGTGCACCTACAAGAGGAAGCTTTACTGTCTCTCTGGAGTTGAATACACGAAGAGCCATTTAAGGAGGCCTAGGAAGAGGCAGGGTAAGAGAGAAAGTAGAGGTCGGCTTATAAGACGAATGGACTATAGAGTCTTTATGCTTCAGGTTCTGAGACTTCACAGGGAGAGACGGAAAGAGCCATCCAAGTAGGCATAGTGCATATCAAAAAGGCGAGGAAAGGGAGCTTAGGAGGGGGAAGAGAGGCATGAAAAGGCGGCTTGCATATTATAAGGGTGAGGAAATAGAACTCGGGAACGAGAAGGCAAACATGAAAAAGTGACTAGGGAAGAGGAACCAGGAAGCAATTAGACTTGAAGAGGCGAGGTCCGCACGGCCTAATACCGGTACACGAGATGAAATGTGCCACCGCGCCGATATATTTGCCCCCTAGCATGTATGATTGAAGGACTAAAAGACATAGGAAGACTTGAGACCGGTGTGCGTCTGTAGTGTTAGTACTATCATTCGACTAAGAGACAAGATGGGATCGAGATGTGTGTCGTCAGCGCCAGCGTCCCTCGGCGCCGGCGGGCGAACTTATCAGGCCTGGTGTAGCATAAATAGACCAATCATACCTCGAAGAATCAGCGCTCCGAGGGCTCCACCATTTGGACCTCGGCCCGCAGGACTCGACGTGGGACAGCCCTGAAGTGTTGATCAGCGGAGAAGCTTAGCCCTCGACGCTCTTGACGCTTGACACTTGACACTTTGGGCTTTGGCTTGACTGCTTTGCATCTCTCAAACATCCTATTCTAATTATGTCGGACGAGCCCACAGAACCAGGCGCGCCGACAGCCAAAGCCGCCGACGAGGCGACGGACAAGGTCACCTCCAAAGAGGTCTCGAAACCCAGCAGCGCCCTGTCCGCGGCGAAGCAGCTCGACCACATACTGCTGCGGTTGAACAAGTAATGCTAATCTTTCTGGACCTCATCTATTTTCGAAGCAACATCAAACTGACAATACACACAGACTCCTCGCCAGCCCCGGCGGCCTCAGCGCCTTCCTCTCCACCTTCAACTACACCCTCTACGTACTCGCCTACCTGCAATCCAAATCGCCCTCCCTC